AAAAAAAATAAAAATTGTAAGAAAGATAAAAAGGGGTGGCTGGGGGCAAAGGGATAAGAAAGAGTAATAAAGATGGTGAATATTATCAAAATATATCATATGCCTGTATGGAAATATCACAATGAAACCCTTTATACTGTAAATTAATATGCACTAAAGAAAAATAAAAGAAAAGCAATAAAAAAAAAAAAGAATTTTTATAATTCAACCAATTTATAAAGATTAGGTACTTCCAAAATCAAAGAACAGATTTGCAAAAAAAAAAAAAAAAAAAAAAAGACGTGGCTAGCAAAATATATAATATAATATAATGTGATGTAATAAATATAACATAGTAATGAATGGGAATTATGCAGCACAGTACAGAACTACCCACCACACCTACTCATAAGCAGAACTGTTTCACCAATTCAAAATACTAAAGATACAATTTTAAAAATACTATTTTCATGATATTGTGTGAATGGACATACCGGAAACTTAAAGAGACACTCCTTACAAGCATTATGCATTATATGCAACAGCTCAGATGTGGAAACAATCTAAATGTCCATCAATGGATGAATGGAAAAAGTAAATGTGGCATATACATAAAATGAAATTTTACTCAGCCTTAAACTAGTCACTGAAGGACAAATACCACGTGATTATACCTATATCAGGTAATAGTAAGGAAAACTCATAGAAGTAGAGACTAGAACAGTGGTTGCCAGGGCACGGAGAGGGGGGTGGGGGACGAGAAAGTGTTATTCAATGAGTATAAAGTTTCAATAAGTTCACAGTCTGCTGTATATTTTCACGCCTGTAAGTTAACAATACTATATTGTATGCTTAAAATTTTTTAAGCGGGTAGGTCTCAAATTAATAGGCTCTTACTACAATTTAAAAAAGAAGAAGAAAAAGAAGAGGCTGATGTCCAAGAATAAATTTTTTTTTCTCCTTTATCAAAAAGATTTCCCCAGGAAGAGGCAGAAAGCTGATCTATCACAAAGAGGAAGGGAGGTATTTGTGGGCACACCAAAGCTAAAACTTTCTATGAATGTCATGTGTTTTTCCCTAAAACCAGGATTACAGTGGTATATATTTCTAAAGTTAACTGTATCTATGAGACAGGGTCTCACTATGCAGTCCAGGCTGGCTTTCAATTTGTGATCCCCTGACTCTCTGGGCTTCATTTACACTATAATTTTTATAGGAAAATGCATGGTGACTTCCAAGTAACCAACTACCAAAACCTTAAAGAACATAACTAAGAATGATCTTGTAGGTCAAAGTAATGAGAGCTTAAATCAAGAGTAAATCATTCCCATAACATAAATAAAGTGCATCACTCAAAAATGTCCAAAATATCAAAAACATACCTTACTCCAGAGAGACTATCAAAGGCATGAAGATCTAACACATTTGAGAGATCAACTCTAAAAGGAAGAAAATTCATATGAACATTTAAAAATTCTGTGAAATACATCCAATTTATCAAGAAAAACATCTAATACACCTATCAAAATGTGTAAGCATAAAGATTAATTAGCATATCATATTTGGGGAAATGCATAAAACTGATGGCAAGAAATAAAAAGGCTACTGTAAAAAATTTCTACATGAAAGTGGGTGAATAGTTAAGATTAGGCAGAAAATTACTTGGTTGTTGCTTCAACAAACTAGTTTTTAATTTGCTTGTTTGTTTTTTTGCCTTTTATTCAATTGTCCTTTCAATTTTGAAATCTAATTTATGTTTTTTGAATACTACATTTTATGACCAAAAAAAAAAATCAGCTAAATAACTAAAACTCTTCTAAGCAGTTTATCACTCCAAGTATGAAACAAAAGAAATGACAAATGGATAGTAGTATAGGTACATCCCAAATACCTTTGGAATTTGTGTAATTCTTTTACTCCCACTCTTATGATAAAACAGATAACATAAAAATACTAGTAGTCAAGTGATGGGGACAAAGCTCACAGGTAGAGAATGTGCTTCACATGTACAAGGCTCTGGGTCTGACCCAAACAAACAAAAAATAAACAAACAAAATTGGTACAAGTAAACAACCAGAGCATAAATGTAAGTCCATCCCAGTACTCTATGCTCAGGTAGGTTTGATTTCATTCATTCACAACGGGGCTGCGTGTGGAATGAACTTCCTGGTTTACAATGCTCTGTCTGAACAGACACTACTTCTCTTAGAATTACTTGCTAATAATTAAACCTTATTAGGAATGCAGCAATTTAAACAAGATGAGAATAACATAATATCACAATTAGCATTAGGTTTATTTTAAATGTATAAAAGTAAATTTATAAAGGATTGATTGAGTTCCAATAGTAACATAAGCCCATAACAGAGCAGATAACAGTGACTTCTTAATCAATGCTAAAATGTAGGCAATATTTAGAGTAAATGGCAAAAGTTTAATTTTATTTCAAAATCAGACTCCAGGAGTTTGTCAAACATTTATTATATTTTTTTCACAAAGGAAATAAAAGTCCATTTGTCAGATTCAAGATTTTTTAAGTGCATAAACATGTAGATTAAAATACGCCCTTAACTTCAGGCTGGGCAGCTGTGCCTATTTTGTTCACCCTCAGCAGTCTGCCACATACTCTGTTAGTTTGTGACTACTCATCCTGGCGCAAATCCCCATCTTATTAAAAGACGACTACTCCAGAGTTCTATGTTAATAGACTATATCAACACTTCAAATTCTGGACATTCTAGATATGCCAAATTAAGAAATTGATCAGGCAAAGAAGTAAATGTTCCATGAAGAAATTTTTGAATATCAATTTACACTCAGAAACCAGTCTTAATATTAAATGTACTTTCTTTTTCAGCTTCACAGTTGAGCAAATATTTATACTGACAGGTCAAAAATGAATGGCATTTCCCTCCAAGTTTATCAACTTAGAAAACAGCTTAAAGTTTAATGAAATTTGCACATCCCAATTCTATGAAGATCTCATTCAGTTTTGAAAAACGGCCTTCTAAATTTAATAACTAGCATTTAGCTGTGACAGTATCCCTGAGAATACATGTCATTTAGAGATAATTCTGCTTTACATCCAAATTCCTTGGAAATTCACAAAACAGACAGGGTCAATAATGGATCTGTACAACAGATTACACTCTGCAGAGAAGAATAAAATATCAAAACCTTTCACCAAATTCTCAATGGACAGCCCAAGACAAAGTCTCAGCTTCCAGATGGAAGTTTCTATGAACTTTCCCCAAATCTACTACTGCTGTGAAAAAGAAATTCTTCATTCACTCAAGGCATGTGATTTCCACTAATGTCCATGGCATCAAATGTGTTTAATTTCTTCCATAAGAAATGAAAATATCATATCGTTTCAAAAACATTCAAAAAGAAAGACAAAAAGGTCAATACCATCATTTACAAACTAAATGGGAAAATAAAAAAAAGGAAGAAAACCTCAAAAGTTCATTTTCCTCCTGATTTCTTGGAAGCATTGACTGTAGCTGCTATTCTTTGAATGCTGTTTGTTTATTCACCACCTTTTCATTCCGGTGAGTCTTTCAACAGGGCCCACCAGCCAATCCCAGATCTATGAGTTGTAGAAGTGTCTGTTTTTCAGGTGAACTCTAGAACTAAATTTCCCAATGCCTTTCCCAGTGATACCTCGAACTCAAAACTGCTCACAAAACTGAACTAATTATCTTTCCACCAAGTTGTTCCTGCTCCCTGTATTTCCTATACTTCAGAGAATAGCCCAAATATTAAATCCACATCCCCAGGGTCACACTGCCTTTAAAATCCTTACTAATTCCTTGTTGCCTACAGGAGAAAATCCAATGCATCATAACATTCAAGATCTTTGTGCTAAGCTCTTTGGTCATACACTTTTTTCTCTGCTACATCATCCCATGTGATCTACTCATTCTAAAATATTTACAGGTCTCTGGAATATAAAATTTTCCTGACACCTTAAAAGTCATCCCTGCTCCAGGTTATCTGGAAAACTCTCATGTTTAAAATTATTGTTGTTGTTGTTATTATTATTATTATTGCAGTACTGGGGATTAAACTCAGATTTGCTAGACAAGTACTCTACCACTTGAGCCACTCTGCCAGCCTCCCATTCATTCTTTAAGACTCTGGTCAAGCCACAAGTGTTGGCTCAAGTCTGTAATCCTAGCTACTCAGGAAGTTAGGAGATTGGGAGGATCAAGGCTGGAGGCCAGTCTAGGCAAAAGTTCACAAGACCCCATCTCAACCAATGACTGGGTAAAATAGTGCATGCCTATAACACAGCTACACACAAATAGCAAGATTATTGTCCAGGCCTGCTAAGGTATAAAGTGAGAACCTGTCTCAACAATAACCAACACAAATAGGGCTGGCAGAGTGTCTCCTGCAGTAGAATGCCTACCTAGCAAGCACAAAGTCCTGAGTCAGACCCCAGTACCATATAAACAAAACAGACTCAGGTCAATGACCATCTTCCCATCCAAATTCTCCTGTTGTGATATATCAGTAATACCTAAAATGTTGCTTTTTGCTTGTTTGCTTCACTGTTTCCTCTAAATGTCTGGTCTTCTTAAAGGTAACTTTTGCTTTATCCATTAAATCTTTAATCTGTCATGAAATGCCTAGGAGTCAGTGTAATGTTCAATAGTTTGTTGAGTTGGTTAACTTATTATTGACCAACTAACTAGGTTTTGATTTTTCTCTGTTCAGTCCAGAGGCTGGCCAGGAGCAAAAACTCTCAAGACCCTATGTAGAAAAACACTAATGAAAAAAGGGGCTAGAGCTGTAGCTAAATGGTAGAGGGCATGACTAGCAAGCATAAGGCCCTGAATTCAAACCCCAGTACTGCCCCTCACAAATACATATACACTCATGTGTGTGTATGCATGTGTGTGTGTGTATATATATATATATATATATGAAATGGCAAACAAAATTTTTGCCATAATAAACTAATCAAGATGCTAATCAAGATGAGGCCTTTGTTCAGGTCATGGATATTTACAAAATGAAAACAAAGAAAAACTAATTTAAGATTATTGTAATTATGAGCTGAATGTTATTATAACAGAACCACAACTATTTGCGGATATAATTTTTAAAGTTTATTTAAGCAGTGAGCAGTTGTCTGTGTATCATTTGTAAAGAAAAGAAAAATTGAGAACAATGCACACTGCAACAGGAAGAAGACATACTGAGGAACAGCTCATGGGATCATTAGAAAATTCTACAACGGAACCTGAAATGAAGGGAGCACATTTGCCTGTACAATGCCTGAAAAGGACTTCTTCTACTCCGTCAGCAGACAAGTGGCTCCTGAGAATGTGTTCCAAATTCATTCCCCAGCTGCCCACTTGCTTATACGCAGCTGCTGTTACTGCTGAACACTTCTGCTAGTCTGTCAACACCTCTAATCTCTGCCAATGCAGACAGGACACTCAGTTAAGGCCAATGCTGCACTTCCGAGGAAAAAAATCTCTCAATTAGGGATTGTGTGGCACTAAGCGCCAGCTGTGAGCCTCAGAGCTGCTGGCTGCAGTCATTCTCACCAAAAACTGAGCTTAATAAAATAATCTTGTACTGAAATTTCTGAAATCATGATACCGCTCCATAGAAAACAGTTCAATTTACAAAATACATTTCACAGATATTTTAAAAACAATGTGCATCTATATTAACAAGCAAAAAAGAGAAAAGAATGTAAAGAAAATGGAAATCAAAATTTAATAAAGCAATATATCAGGAATTTAAAGGTAAAGATTCTATGTATTTTTACAACATAGGCTTTTTCTTTTTTGCAAACTATGAAATAAGATTTAAAAAGTATTAAAAAGCCATTTAAAAACCTCAAATTAAGATAAGATTCTTCAGTATGATTTTCTAGATTTCTGTACCAAATTACTTCAGGGGGTGGTTGAAAGTCTTTTTGTTTCACTTTGTTTTTTGTCGTTGCTGTTTTGAGACAGGGTCTTACTATGTAGCCCAGGCTGGCCTAGAACTCACAATCCTCCTGCCTCAGTCTCTCAAGTGCTGGGATTACACAAGTATACCATCAATTCTGGTTAAAAGTCTTATTCTTCCTCATTATGTATAAACTCAGTGATACAGTGTTATCATCACTCCATAGTCTTAGTTACAAAGACAGGCAAAGGTATTGACAAAATTAAATATGCTAAACTATAAAGAGCATTCAAAACTACTTTTTGGGGTCCCATTTTTTAATATACCTATATCGTTTTATATTACTTATTATTAGTATTAGTAATAGCTTTTTAAAGTACCTTGATCTTTGTGTTTCTAAAATTTTTCCAAGTCCATTTATATATCTGAAATAAAAAATGAACAAGAAAAGGTAAAAAGGTACACAAATCAAATGATTTCTGAAACAGGAAGTAACTAAACATAAACATAGCTGGAACTAGAAAAAGTAAAAAATACAAAAACAAAACTTGTATTTTCTTATGGTTTAATTATTCTTTTCCTTGAAACCACAAATCTGGTATATTCTATTCATGCCTTAAGAAAACATGATATGCAAAAATCTATGGCACAAGTGATGAACTAAGGGGCGACTTTGTGGTTTATAAAAGACCCTGAAGTTTAAAAAAGATGATTCAAGGGGCTGGAGATGTGGCTCAGTGTTAGAGCACTTGCCTAGCATCTACCACAATGCCCTAGGTTCCATACCCAGTACCACCAAAAAAGAAAACAATGATTCAAATAGCCAGTAGTTTTTATGTTAAAATGAGCATAAACTCAAAGTTTTTACTAATAGGAAGTAAAACCAAGTATCAAGAAAAGCTATGATTTTCTCTTGCAGTCATTAATCTTCACAACAATCTCTTAATGAATCATACTCTTATTGATTCAGTTTATAATATATACTTTATGAACCAGTACAACAGAGTCAAAATCAATAAATACTAAGATTACAGTAATGTTAAGCCATCATGTACAAAGCATTATACCCATTAAAGATGACCAACAATAAAAGCTACTGAATGTCTCTTTGTCCATGGCATTGTTTAGTTTAGGTGTTACAAATAATTCAAAACAAACTCCCTTGGATCTTAACCTCATTTGAAACATCCATCATTTGTTTCTAAAGGAAAGGGAATCTCCAGAACAGTCAGCAAAATGACTACTGGGTCTTTTAACATATAGTTGAGTATCATTCATATTGTCCTACGTCTATCAGTCTTGCCCACGGCACTGAAGACATTAAAGCAAGCTGGAAGACAAAGTATAGTTGACAATTAAAGAAGACATTAAAATCAAAGAGAGTTCAAGGGGGAAATAATACCACTTGAGTCAGGGAAGGCTTCACTAAGGAATAGGAGAGAAACAAATTCTACAAAATGGGTAAAACTGCTTGAAAAGGGGAGCAAGAGATAAAGGAATTCAGGAATTGGGAAGTGAGAAAACATGAGTAAAGCTGGAACTTGGCAAGACACATCCATGGGAAAGTAAAGTAACTGTCCTAGGTAAAGTGGGGAGGGGGACTTGATGTTAGGAAAGAGTTGAAGAAAAGCTAGCAAAACAGGGACAGTGTCAGAGGACAGAGAATATCAAATTTTGAATTATACTCTGCAAGTAATGGGGAATCATTATATATACATATGTATATATATACACACACACACTTAACCATCAGTCAGCCAACAATACATGTGATCCCCTAACTGTTCATGAAGCAGGTCAACCTTGAACCTTAAGCTCTACAGGGCAATAGTCATGAGAAAATATTTTGTATTTGTATATTTTGAATTTGGAGGTACATAACACACTTATAATTTTGTAGCTAAGTTGTTCTTTTTTAAAAAAAATTAAACTAAATTTACTTTTTAACTGATACATAAAAATTATACCTGGAGGTAGGGTACCATGTGATGTTCTGATACATGTACACATATACATGTATATGATTTAAGCCTTGTGTAATGCTTAAATCAGGTCAAACATATGCATCCTCTCAAACATTTGTCACCTCTTCGAGGTGAAAAAATTCAAGATTATTTTTTCCAGCTTTTTGAAATATACAGTATACAATTTCTATTGTACCTAATAGTTGTTCTTAATTTACTTAATTCCTCTTCTGAAATCAAGTCTGTTTTATTGATGAGAATGATATCTGCCAAAGCAACTTGTCTAAAATAGAAAAGAACAGATGTCAAAAATAAGTGTTTAAAAAATTAAAAATAAATATAAACAACTCATTTAAATAAATATATTAGCTAATTAATACTTAGGGGTTCTATAGCAGTGATTCAGTTTACTCCTAATCTATTTATTCTTCAGACATTACAGATGAATTGTATTCACCACTACATATAAACTCAGATTTTTACAGTCATTCAGAGTATTTATTAAGTATTTTCCCCTGTTACTCTGGAGCTATGAAGATAAGCCTCAAGAGGTTTATAATCAAAAGGAACTCACAACTTTCTTTGTAGAGCAATGCATAAAATTCAGATATCCAATATGACAGGTATAAGAATAGACTACTTGTTGTTTTTTATAATATTTAACATAACTTTCAAAGAAATACAGAAAATAAGTTTGCTTAATATCAAACAATTTTGTTTAAAAAAAACCCTACACTTAAGGTATATGAAGATCTTGTACACATATCTTCATCAATATAAATATATCTCTATAAGACAGAAGTTCCAGTTAAAGAATCCAGCTGACAAAGAATGCCAGATAACAAAATAGATTATAACTAGAAGCTGTGTTTCTATTAACAGGATTAATAAAGCTAAGGAATTTTTCCATTTTCCTCAATTCTTTGAGAAATTCTAATCACTGCACTATTTGTTTCTAATCCTGGTCTTATGCTATCTATCAAAGAACACAACAAAATTCTCAAAACTAAATTAATTTCAAATCACTGAAAAACCAGATTTTAAGAGAATGTACATAACAATCCTGTTTTTGTTTAAGTAAATTTTATATGATGACATATCTCCAAATATAAATAGCTACAATCTTTAAATTGGGGGACTTCTATGTTTAATTTTCCTTTGGCTTTTATAATACTTGGCTTTTTTCTATCTAGCATATACATATGTTTATTATAGAATAATATTATAGAATATATATGTAATCTATAATAAACATTTTCATGAGGAAAGAAGTTATAATATTTTTCATTTCTAATTTGAACCATAATTCTATACCACATGCAGTGTTTAGGCAGGATTTCAAAACAACCTGGTATCATACTCTAAAATGACAAAGAATCAATTGCTTGCTGTAGTCTTTATTTTCTACATCCAGAATCATCTGCACTAAATCCCAGAGGGCCTCACTGTTAAATTCAGCAGCATATTTAGTGGCTGTCATCTATCCTAAAACCTTTATCCCACTAGCAAGAATATGCTAAGGGTAGGCAAGTAATTTAAATCCTTATAAGTCTAAAGAAAAGTTGATTAGGAATATAAAGGTATTTAAATAAAAAAATGTTTCCAAATTAAAAGCAGTTCTATATCTGTTCCCCTATAACAGCAAACACTGAGGCAGTTAAGGTAGTAAATGAGCCAGCTATCTTTTTATAATGATCTTCAATACCAAAGAAACTGTATGAGAACAAAATACTTTTGAATGTAAGTATTTCCAAAGTTCCTCAGAATCAAGAAATCCTGAACCCAGCATGTTCATACTTCTTAGTTTTGTGATTTCATATTAATAATTTTCTAATTAACCAGTAATCAGCGTAACTTTAAATATGAATACCTAGAAGCTTCATTGATAAGGCCATCAGGTTTTTCTTCTGTTAAATGCTAAACAAAAACAAAGTTTGAAAATAGTTACTGTGCTATAATATAAAATCTAATGTCAACACAAACAATTTTAATTTTTTTCAACTCTTTTTTAGTATATGATGTTATATAGGGGGTTACATTATGACATTTCCATATATACATATATCATACCCAAGTTTGGTTCATCCTCTCCATTAATCTCCCTTTCACCCACTCCCCTTCTTGAAATGATTTCAACAGATTTCAATGTCCCATATTCATACATGTATAAAAATACCTCAACCATACTCACTCTCCTTTACCCTCTTCATTTACCTTCCCCTCCCATTACTACCCTGCCCTTATACTACCTATAAAAGGGGGATAACCGCTGATATAATTTCTACATTCTTGTCCTTTATTTTTTTAGTGTCTATTCATTGTTCGGTGGGGTTTTGTCTTGGTATTTTACCTGTAAAGATGTTGTTTATTTAGTCAGTCAACCCCCCTCTATTACTCTTCCTGTCCTTTTTCCCTCTCTACACTGTACTGTTCAACAGTTTTCAGTGCATTACATTGTATCTTGTTCCTATACAGTTGTGATATATTTCAATAGTATTTACTCCCTATCATTCTTTTTTTCTTTTCCTCATCCCTTAGTCTCCTCTACCAGTCCCACTTTTTGAAAAATGTTATTTTTAATTTTTTGTGGTACTGGAGTTTGAACTCAGGGCCTACATCTTGAGCCACTCCACTAGCCCTTTTTTTGATGGGTTTTTCGAGATAGAGTCTCACAAACCATTTTCCTGGGGTTGGCTAGAACCATGATCCCCTCCACATCCCAATCTCTGCCTCCTGATTAGCTAGGATTACAGGTGTGAGCCACTAGCGCCCAGCTGAAAAATGTTATCTATCTATCTATCTATCTCTCTCTCTATCTATCTATCTATCTGATGAAGAAATGGGCAAATTAACTGAATAACAATTTTTCAAAGGAAGAAGTCCAAATGGCTAAAAAATACATGAAGAAATGTTCAGCATCCCTGGCCATAAAGGAAATGCAAATCAAACCACTTTAACATTCCACCTCACTTGTGTTAGAATTGCTCCCATCAAAAATACAAACAACAAATGTTGGCGAGGATGTGTGGAAAAAGGAACCTCACACACTGCTGATGGAAATGTAAATTAGTACAACCACTATGGAAAACAGTAGGAAACTCCTCAACAAACTAAAAATAGAATTGCCATATAATCCAGGTATACCACTCCCAGGGATATACCCAAAGGGAATATAAAAGTCAGGATACAATAAAGACACCTGCATTCTCATGTTTATTGCAGTATTATTCACAACAGCCAAGCTATGGAAACAGCACAGTTGCCCTACAACTGATGAATGAACTAAGAAAATGTGCATATACACAATGGACTATTACTCAGCCATAAAGAGGAGTGGCATTTTGTCATTCGCAGGTAAACAGATGGAACTGGAGAACATCAGTTAAGTGAAGCTGCATTCAGAGAGCAAAGGTTGTGTGTTTTCTAACACAAACAATTTTAGAGGCAACTTTCTTGCCCCTATTAAGACTTTAACAAGTTGCACTACTGCTTTCTATCTGAAAGCACTTTTCTTCTTCATTTCCATTTGTTTCCAACAGGGAAACTATGGGATATTGGGGAAGAGAGGGCTTAGAATTTTGTACTCCTGCACTTCTCTTTTTCTTAAAAAGAAAACTCCTCAAATTTAAATAATATCATAAAAATATAGAACATTATAGTTCAAATTTTAGGCATTTTATAAAGCTGTTCTTCTAAATTTTCATTACTACCTATAAAAGGGGGATAACCGCTGATATAATTTGCTCTATTCCTATCAACCTGCCTCACTCCCCACCCCAACCTTGTACATGGTATGAAGTCAGCACCAATCCCTTCAAATTGTCTAGAAACACAGAAACTGTGGGAAGGACAGCCCTAAACCCACACACAGAGTGATCTGGCCTCTCAGTGCAACTATTTACTTTGCTGACTTCCCCATAGTCAGACCAGCTCTCCCAAATATTATAGCATTAACTTTGAGGGTCATGAGCACTTTTCATCTATCTAGAGGAAGTTTTTCCCTCACAGTTCCACCTATATTCCTAAAGGCATCGATGCCATAAGGTTCCACTCTGGAAAACCACGTTTTCTCTCCAATCACCTCTACCCTCTACAGGGGTTCCCTAGCACAATAAAAAGCAGGTGACTAAGGTTAAAAGGCAACTAGATTATAGTCATACTCTTTATATGTGAGTTGAGCTTCATAAGCTATTAAATCATTTTACATACATTACTTTGTTAAGACTTTATAACAAGTATGGGAAGTCACTATTCTTATTTTATAAAGGAAGAGACTAAGTCTAACATCCTCACCATCACAGGATACAGTACTTTTATATACCATCACAGGGGTATTTTATTTTTAACTAAAAACATTCAGGCTAGATACAGTGGCTCATGTCTGTAATCCCAGCTTCTTGGGAGGCAGAGATTTGGAGAATTGCAGTTTGAGGTCATAGTTAGCGAGACCCCATCTCAACAAATAAACTGGGTGTGGGGCATGGGTAGGAGGATTATAGTCTCAGGCCAGCCCAGCCCAGGCAAAAAAGTGAGACTCTAGCTAAAAAATAACCTAAAGCAAAAAGGGCTGAAGGCCCTGAGTTCAGACCCAGTACCATCCAAAAAAGAAAAAAAACATGCTCAGTAGAAGTAAAATGAATATAATTTTAAAATCTTTGTGAAAGTCTTTTGTATTATACAAATCAGCCTTATATATGTAAGTGCTACATAAGTGTTAATAATTGCCTAAGAGAATATATATATATAAAGATTACCTAAGACTTAAATTCTAGTTTATTTATCAAACTAATTTCACAACTCATTGGGAGCTGATAATTAAAGTACTTATATAATTTAGAACTTAATGGAAAGTTGAAAATAATTTAATAATCCTGGTTAAGACCTTGGAGAGGAAAACTTTTTGTTTTTTCCTCTTCTAAAAGTTTACCAAATACTACTTAGGGGGAAACAAAACTAAAACCATGGCAATGATATACTCATTTTCACTTTGTGTACAATCCTGTAAATTCAGCTGCAGACCCACTCTTCAATTATGAAAGTCATAGGACTTGTAAAATACCTTATCAAAAATTATTCCATGCCAATAAGACCAAGCTTAGTATTAATTTTTCATAATTATTCTTGGCCTGAAGCTGTAACAAATTCTATTATTACACACTCCCTCTAGAGAATGAGGCTATTCTATTACCAGACCCTGCAATGGTGCCTGGCACACAGGCCCAACAAATATTCCATGAATAAACTGTAGGTAACATAGATGCAAAACATTATCTGAAAAATGCTGTCTATGTATAACATGTAGGAATAAATGCCTTTCCAATAAGCAGTAAATCTACTTAACAATGATAGACTTTTAGCAAGGTGTTTACCCCTGGATGATCCTATAATATTGAAGATTCTTTAAAATTTTGAAATATTTTTCAAAAAATTGTACTGTTGACCTTTTGAGAGCTTCATTTACAGATCAATTTGGTATTGTTTGGCTGTGAGTTTATGAGGCATAAAAAGATACAATTTGGGCACTTGTGGCTCACATCTATAATACTAGCTACTTGGGAGGCTGAGATTGGGAGGACAGAGGTTCTCGGCTAGCCCAGGCAAAAAAGTTTGGGAGATCCTATCTCAGGAGGAAAAACCAAGGAGTGGTAGCACATGCCTGTTATCCTACCTACAGCAGGAAGCCTAAAAAATCGAAGATGCTGGTTCTAGGCTGGCCTGGGCAAAAAACCAGACCCTATTTCAAAAAATAACCAGAACTAAAAAGGCTAGGTGTGGCTCAAGCAGTAAAGCACCTATCTAGTTTGAAGCCCTGAGTTCAAACCCCAGTATTCCCAATTAAAAAAAAAAAAGATGATATGACAGAACAATTAGAGACTTTTTAAAAACTTCTATCTTAAATGTAACTATAAAATGGTAGTTTCACAAAATAACTCACAATGTTTTGAATCTATTCACTTCTCCACAAAAATTAGAAAGCTTCACTCAAAGCTAAATGGGGTGACATAACATTTCAGTACCTCCAGAAAAAAAAAAAGTATAAAAATAAGTTAAAATCTCCCAAAATAAAAGTCTGCCAATACATACCATGTCATATATGGCATACATCATATATAAATGCAGCAAAGATCAATACCAAATTCTATGCACAGAGCATGTTCTGTGAAAGTTATACAAACATAAAAAACAACAGATGCATACTAACATTTATTCTTTTCTGAGTATCAGCCATACATTTGCCTTATGAGATTTCTTACATCCCCAAGTCAAACTTTACAAAAGACTATAAAACCTGTGTTTGCTAATCAAAAGAACATTCTCCAGTTCTTGGTCATAAGCCAGATGACTTCCATTTATAAAATAAAAACAAAAGGTAAGTTTTGATAATCTACCATTATAAACATATGAAGAAAAAATTATAAAATATTTGTTTCAAAATATTTTCTATGTTATATATACATATATATATTTGAGGGCTTTTTTTGGTGGTCCTGGGGTTTGAACTCAGAACTTGAAGCCAGCCTGGAACCTCAATCCTCCCAATCTCAGACTCCCAAGTAGCTAATATGAAAGATGTGAGCCCCAACTGCCTAACTTGTATCTTTTTATATGCCTTACAAACTCACAGCCAAATGACATCAAACTGATCTGTAGATGAAGCTTCCAAAGGTCAAGAATTTCAAGTTACAGGATCATTCAGAGGCAAATGCCTTGCTAAAAGTCTACCATTTGAGCTTACACCCTCAGCCCTTTTTTTACTTTAGGTATTTTTCAGATAGGGTTGTGCTTTTGCCCAGGACCAGTGGTTTTGGACAGCAATCCTCCTACCTGATGCCTCCCATATAGACTGCATTACAGAAGTACACCACCAAGTTCAGCTTGTTGGTTGAGATAGAATCTCGATAATTTTGCCTGGGCTGCTGGCCTCAAACCTTGATCCTCCTAATCTCTGCCTCCTGTGTAGCTGGAATTATAAATGTAGCCACCATGCTACATTCCAAGGATTCCTCATCTCTGCTTGAGACTGGAGCTTTTGCTTATACATCAAAAAGGCAACAATAATTTTGTACTAATAACCCAATATTCAAAAGATAAAGGTTCAAACTCCCAACATAGCCTACAACAACAAAGTAGAAAAAAAGGGATGTGAGACTCAGGTCAAAGGATAAAAAGTTTCAGTTTTGCAGGATGAATAAAACTAATTATAACGTGGTGACTATAGTTAAGACTACTGGATTGAACACATAAAACTTGCTGATCTTAGATCTTAAATGTTCTTACCCACACACTACCAAAAAATGGTAGCTATGTGAGCTGACAGATAAGTTAATGCTTGATTGTTTTCACAATATCTACACGCGCATCGACATGGCAAGTTGTATACCTTAAACATACACAATTTTTGTTAGCTTCAATTCAATAAAAATAGAAAGAAACAAAGAAATTCTCTGAAATAACACTACTGTAGACATAACTACAAGAAAGGATAAAGGGTGTCTTTTCTGCAGGAATAAAGAGACAAACTGGACCAAAAGAAAATAAAAACTATCCTGTAACTTACTGGCTAAGAAAGAAGACTGTTGTTGACCAAAGGACAAATAAATCTAGTGTCAAAACACTAAATCTATCATCAAAGAAGGAGAAAAAGAGGAAGAGGTGGGAAAGGCAGGAATTTCTTTCAAACAGACTGGTTATAGATCTAAAACTTTTTAAAGCTAACTCTTCCAGCTTTAAAAAAAAAAAGTATTGCATAACGTCAGTCTACTTATTTTTCTGGCCTTTTCAAAGCCAAACTGTTTTCTGACTGAATTGTTTCACCAGCTTGTGCACTATAACAGAAGAACCAAAAAGAAACTTGTCACTTGACCTTTTGTGTATAACTTCATTCACTGATTCTATTACATTAAATGCTGTCACATTTATAGAACTGAAAAGAACAATGTTGGTAGCCTGGGTGTCAAGTCTTGAGAATAGAAAGCTGTCATTTAAGTTGTCCAATTCTTTGCCCATGATTAAAAAATGAATATTTCAGATCAATGGGTGACAATCCCATTAGAGTGATAGCCCATGATATCAATTACCATTTCAGTTTCAATTTGGCTGGCTGGCCACAGGGTACCATTTCTCAGCTTTCCTTGTGATGGGCTGGCTCTGTGAAGCATGACACCCTTAAATTGCTGCCCATTATCCAAGTGTCATTACTTGTACTGCCTCACAGTTCTCTGAATCACAAGCAGCTACTGAGGTCAAGCTTTGCAACCAGAGGAATTGGACAAGTTGGCAAATTCTTTATATAAAGGCAAAGTTATTTATCTGGCATCCGACTTAGAAAATCTAAAGTTTCCATTATCCTGACAGTATGTCAGTTTTATGTAGGTACATTGATTTAATAATTTAAGAGGTTTTTTATCAAGGTGGCAGGGGGTTAAAGGTATACTGTGTTTGCATTATTCAGAATGTTGCTTTGGGTTTTTATGGCCTCTTATTATGCTATAATAGATTCCATTTAACTCTTCTCTGCACCCAGCTATACATACAAAAAATTTTCCTATAATCATATAATACATAGAGTTTGACTTTGGGTATGGCATGTTAAGTCTATCAAAAAAATGAAATGTCCTATCTGTTACCTACCCTATAAGTGTCCCAAACTTGATAATAAATTTATAGAGGAGATGGATTCAAGCATACCTTTAATATATAAGACATTCAAAATAAAGAATCTGAGGTTTTTCTGGTGTTTTTTTCATTTTGCAGCTTCCATTAATAGTTTACTTGAAATATGATTTTGAAATACCTATTAGAATTTTTCCGGGAAAAACTGTAAAAATATAATTTGGTGGGTTTTTTGGTTCCTATACTATTCATAAATTGGGGATCTTTGATTCTTATTCTTCACAAATGCAAATTTTAATTAGAGATAAGGGCAAAATAGTTTCTGCCTGGTAGCGAGGGGGTAGCAGGGGAGTGAGAGGGGGTGGGGGGGCAACATTGTATGCACATATGAATAAAAGGAAAAAAATGCAAATTTAAACTCTAACAAAGGAATTCTCTTCCAAACTTCTAAAATGAGGGCACTCTATGGAGGGTGTGAAGTGCTGGTGAAGGAGTGTTGTAGCCATTTGAAGAACCAGATAGGTCTTCTTAGAGTGTAGTTTCACTAAACATTTGGAAGAAAAACTTTAAAAAAAAAATAAGTACAGATATACTAGGGAGTAGAATACAAAATCACAAATTTTTAAACACTGATCTAAACTCCTAAGAAATTATTACTTTGGTCCCTATCTCTACACCCATTTTGGTGTGGGGTAGGTGCTGGGGGCAGGGGTTAAGTTCATTCTCTGATTCATTTAATGATATCAAAAAGTTGAGAAACACTATTTTATTTTAGGCAGTAATATGCTTCTAAGTATCTTACTAAGTGAATTTTATAAATTGAGATCATTTAAATGCATGTGAGGATCTTCACAATTAACAAAACATTCACAGCAGAATGTCTTTTAATGGAGAGTTTCTCTTCACTAATCCTATCCAAAAATCTCAATTTCTTTAAGATGAAATAAAGCAGTATTTCTAAAAACTCAGTTCTAGCTGTTTTGGTAGCAGTCTTCTATCAAACAGAAAAACTTATCAATGCTGGAGTTGAATTCTAGTGGCATTACACACACCCAAACTTTATCCTGACTCATATCCTTATAAAATATTATAATAATTCCAGATTTTATCACAACATCAAACCAGACTAACAGAAAAGAAACAATTTAAAAACACAAAATAATAATTTTAAAGCATATAAACTGCATCTATTATTCAGAATTCTATTTTGAATAAGATTCTTGTTAAAAAATTTCAGATAGCCAGACACCAGTGGCTCACACCTATAATCCTGGCTACTCAGGAGGCAGAGATCAGGAGAATTGCAGTTCGAAGCCAGCCTGGGCAAACAGTTGGTGAGACCCTATCTCAAAAAATCCTTCACAAAAATGTGGCTGGTGGAGTGGCTCAAGGAGAAGGCCCTGAGTTCAAGCCCCAGTACCACAAAAGTAATTATCAGATACAAGGAAATATTATAGTCAAACCTTTATATTCCTAATACTTAACAATTAGTGAATCATAATCTTTCAACTTACTTTTAATCCATATTTTGAATCTACAACAGTTATTATACCTATAAAGGAATAAACATTTTAATCATCACTTTTTCAAAAAAAGATGTTGATTAATACTGTACAACCACACTTGAGAAGGAAAATAAAAACTAATCTCTTCCAGTTCACAAATGCTATTCACTAAAACAAAGTATTTTCTTCTCTTATGAATGCAATTTAACACAATCCTAGGAGTAAGTAAATGCATTTCAAATATCTACTGAGTACTGTGTTTAAGAAACCAGGAAAGATAAAAAGAAAAAATTTTTAAATTAAATTAACTAAGAAAACAAGATTTCACTGGTGTTTAAAAGCTTACAATCCAAAATAAGAAAATTTCATAATATAAAATGAAATGTGGTAAATTATACAAGGCAAGTTATTTCTAATTTATTTTCACATAATTAAAATGAAGGCTTTTTAACATTTACATTAGTTAAAGAACCTGAGACATCTTAGGATATCTTATTCCCAACCTCTTACTAAACACAGCTCACAAAAATGTTTTATATAACAAGTACTTAAGTCCCCAAAAGATAAAGTTAGTTTAGCAATCTCTGAATATATGCTAAATCATTTTTGAAAAGCTAACACAGGATAAGTGTAATGATGCCTATAGAATTCCACCAGCTACATGTCGCACATTAGGGCCCAATGAAGCCCGGCTTTGATGATTCTTAAATTTTACCCCTTAGCCTATAAAAAACTGGTTTAAAGAAAAAGTGAGAGAGGGAAAGAGAGAATATGGATGGAAGGAGGCAACATAGTTGCTAAGAAGAAAGTTACATGAAGTTTATAAATTTATAAATACGATCAACAAAAGTGTTAAAAGCAAAGGGTGTGTGTGTATGTGTGTATGTATCTATGTGTGTGTGTGTGTGTGTGTGTGTGTGTGTGTGCGTGCAAGCTTAAAAATGAAAAGCAGAAATAGCCTTACACTATCAGGCTGGCTAAGACAAAAAGCTCTACCATTATACAAAGTGCATAAATCAAACAGTGGATATAGGGAATCTACACAGCATTTTTAAAGGGAATCCTTAGTGAAACTGCTAAATTGGGAGTTGAAATTAAGACCCAATAATCCAGTTCTAGCACTGTCTGAGTGTTAGAATTTATGAACAAAAATTACTTAATCATAAACTAAACAAGTTTTAAGAGAACAATAGTGCAAGGAATTAAACTTAGACTATAAATAAGCAAAATGAGCTTAACTATAAAGTAAATTCACTTCAAGACAAAAGAATATTATTTTTAACTTACCATCAAGATAAATATCACTTCCTAATTCAGCATCAACCCAAAATATAGAAGCCACAGCACCTGAAAGTACATATGATATTCACCAAATAAAAATATTTCTTTCAACTACAAAACATGATTCTACCTGTTTTAATTTGTCCCAACAGAATTACCAGTAAACACATACACAAGTTGTACCTGGGCTTCCAATCTTTTCATAGGAATTACAGTGATGGAACCTTTTACTATTACAGTCATTTCTAGCCCTCTCCTTACTTTCTAAAAAAAAAAAAAAGAAAGAAAAGAAAAGACCAACTCCCAACTCTTACCACACACAAATCAAATAGCAAGCTTCTACTGATGTCAAAATAATTTACCAACTGATATCATCAAACAATTTGAGCACTATGAATATATGCACCTAGGACTAATTTTATTTTCTCATTCTCTGAATATAATAATCATATGGTTCACAAATAATGAGTCACTGCTCTAAAGGCAAAGCAAACAAAATATAGATAATTTCAAAATCACTTGTCCAAAAAATTTTACTTTTAATTTTTGTAGAATAAAAAGAATAGGAAGTAAAATGATAAATTCTTTGGCATTACTAATTAACCCTCACACTCTTTATTTAGTACTGGGTAAAAATTTGGGTCTGAGAAAAAATTATTTGTAAATAAGAAATTAAAACTTGTTTTTGACAGAAGTTGCCTTAGTTCCAAACCACACACCCTGATTAGTATGCCACAATACAAGACAAAGGAAACTGACAGCAAGGAAAGTGTTTGATTTTTAAAGCATCTCAGGCCTAGTTAGTGACAGCGCTGTCTAAAAGAATGAGCACAGGGGGAAGTAAGAATAACTGAACTCATTCCACTGTCTAAAGCTGTCCACCTTCTCTGACAAAATGTGCTCCCCAAGCATCACTCTGTGTCAACAATGAAATACCTGTCAGCTGTTTACAGTGATTACTCATGCAAGATATAGCAAGGACCACAAGATCTAATGGTTTCCTGATATCTATTGATTTTTTTCCCAAAAACTTAATAGTTTTCCAATTTGACTGAAATAGGATTTGTGAGTAACAGGGGCTGAATCAATGTCAGTCTTTTTCAAGGAAATTACTTTACCATGACAATTATTTATCCTACAACTGGAGAGTGTCAGCCCACTAAACGGGAAACAACTGAATTGCCAATAAGAATTTTCTCCACTTTCTTGGCTAAGAACATAATTTTAATTAATAGGGAAGAAAAAAGTAAATCTACTGCATCATTACTCCAAACAGTAAGTCACAAAACTATTGATTTTTTTCACTCAGTAAAACACCCAACACTATGTATAAATAGTCCTATAATTTAAAAAAACATGACTGATTTCTGTTTTGATAAATTGCTTGGAAGTTTTACCACTCACATTTGTTTATTAAGTTGACCTGTAAAAGTATATTACAGTTTTTATTTAAATCTGTCATTTACCTTTGATATAATACTTGCCAGTCTACATAAGAAAGAACTATGAAAAATGTAGATAGAGGTGTTGGAGAGTAGTAAAGATAAAGAAAGGAGTGGTGATTTTCTCCCCAGGGAGAACTGGGCAAGCCTGAAGCAATTCTTGCTGCCTCTAAGGGTGCTACTGGCATCCTAGGGATAGAAGTCAGGGATGCTGCTGACATCCTTCAGTGCCCAAGACAGTTCCCCCACACAACAAATAATTATCAAATTCAAAATGTCATTTGTGCCAAAGCTGAGACTCTTAGAGAGATTACATAATCTTCCTTCTTCAAAGCCTAAAAAAACAAAAGATGAAAATAATCGAAAATTTAAGACGTGAAAAATTTGCCAGCAGCAATCAAAAAGATCATTCAATCTCCTTCTATAAATTTTGAAGAGTGACAGTCAAAATAAGAAACAAAGTTCTATGAAAGTTATGGTTATTCCTAACTAACTCCTTCCTAACCCAACCCCTCAATAAGAGGCTTTGGAAAACAGTTTACAAAACCTTATCAGAAATGCCTCCCAAAGGTATGAGGATAGGCAAGAAACCTCAAAAAAACAAAATAGCATTTGATGTCCTCAATGCAAAGGAACTAATGCAGAAACTTTAAAGTGACAGAGGCCAATAGGAATAGGGTACCAGGAACTAGAGAAAAGGTTAGTTTGAGAAGAATTAATTTAGAATGTAACACATATGTACAGGAAAGCAATGCAAGTAAACTCCCTGTATAGCTATCCTTATCTCAACTAGCAAAAACCCTTGGTCCTTCCTATTATTGCTTATACTCTCTCTTCAACAAAATTAGAGATAAGGGCAAAATAGTTTCTGCCTGGTAGCGAGGGGGTAGTGGGGGAGAGGGAGGGGGCGGGGTGAAAGGGAGGGGGTGGGGGGAAGGGGGGAGAAATGACCCAAACATTGTATGCACATATGAATAAAAGAAATTAAAAAAACAGAAGAGGAAAAAAAGAAAAAAAAAGAGACCTTGCAACTAACAAAATAAACGTGAAACACTAATGAAATATCACCATTGCTTATACATACACATATGTATTACAGTAGAGAAAAACAAAAATAGATTTTTCTTTTTAAAAGATGAAAGGCAGGAAGGAAAAAAAAATAATAGGGCACACAAATAGTGAAGAACTCATTCTGGAAGGAAACACAATCCAAGTAACCAAAGAAAATTCTGAAGAACTTCATAACAAAGAAATTAAAAGCAATACATAAACTCAAGCTCAAAAAGAGAGTTTGCCAAAAGGGGCATGCATCCAGGAGAACTCTAAATAAACAAAGCCTGCCAGGGTAGGTGAGTGTAAAACTCATTCCTGAGATCTGCAATAAATAAAGCCTGCAACAGCAGCTGGCTGACAGTAGGTGGCAGATGAGCCGCAGCCTCAGATAGACATTCACAAAGCTGTCTCCAGACTCCTTTTTTTTTCTCCTTTGATGAGAATGAAACTACACTGCATTTGAGCTTGGGATTTCTTTTTTCACCCTTTGATGAGACAACCACAGAACTACTACTCAGACACCAACACCAGGAGTGGATGCTGAAGGACAAACACCAAATCTATTAAGACTGAAATCTATTAAGACTGAAACTTTATTACATTTGAACTTGAGAAATTTTATTTTTTTAATTTTTATTTTTTTAATTATTATTATTATTATTTTATCCTCTCTGTATTTCTAATACCTGTTTAGCTCAATGTTGATTAGTATACTATCTCTCCCTGTTTATTTCTTCAGCTCTGTTTTTTGTTTTGTTTTGTTTTTTTCCCTTTTTCTTTACCTTCTTTGCTTTCCCTCTCCTCTCACCCTTCCATTCTAGATATCATCATTGTTAATATCACAAACTAGACAATACTGAATTACACACAGTACAGGAACAGTAACAGTAGCAAGAGGAATGATGGGAAGAGGGAAATCATTTTCTCCCCAATAATAAATTAGTACAGGAACCACAGGGAAATGAAGAAAACAGATACCCAGATACAGACTCCAACAAAACGAAGATAAACTATGCAAAAGAACCCAATGAAGCCCACAAGAACATCCTGAAAGAAGAAATCCTGGAAGTAATCAATGAGAATTTTATAGAGATGATACTGGATATGGTCAACCAAAATGTACAGGAGACACTCAAGAAATTCCAAGGCAACAAAAATACAGAATTTGAGAAAGCACCAGAACAAATAAAAGAAACTATAGAAGCACTGTATAAACACCAAAGTGAAACAAAGAACACAATAAATAAAGAGATAAATGAACTCAGAACGAAAACAGACAATATTAAAGAGGAAGGGACTCAGGATGTGGAAAACCTCAGAAAAAAAGAATGAAACAGAAATGCAAAACAAAATGGAAGGCCAATCCAGAAGTAGAACAAGCAGAAGACAGAATCTAAGAACTTGAAGATGAAATGGTAATTAAAGGAAAAACCAAAGAACTATTAGTTAAACAACCCAAGACCTCTAAAAAGAAAATGCAAGAACTTACTGATTCCATCAAGAGACCAAACCTGAGAATCATGGGCACTGAAGAAGGTGAAGAGGTGCAAGCAAAAGGAATGCATAATATATTCAACAAAATAATAACAGAAAATTTCCCAAATCTGGAGAAAACTATGCCCATACAGGTACAGGAAGCCTCCAGAACACCAAACAGACCTGACCAAAATAGAACTACCCCACAACATATTATCATTAAAACAACAAGTACAGAGACTAGAGAAAGAACACTGAAGGCTGTAAGAGAGAAAAAACAAATAACATACAAAGGTAAACCCATCAAGATCACACCAGACTTCTCAACAGAAACATTGAAAACAAGAAGAGCTTGCAGTGAGGTCTTCCAGGCACTGAATGAAAATAACTTCAACCCCAGGATACTCTACCCAGCAACACTATCATTGAAAATAGATGGAGCAGTAAGTCTTTCATGATAAGCAGAAACTGAAACAATATATGACCAAAAAGCCACCACTACAAAAGATTCTTCAAGGCATTCTGCACACAGAGAGTGAAACCCAACATAACCATGAAAGGGCAGGCAGTACCAAACTACAGGAAAAGAAAAAGCAAGAAAGTAGAGAGTAACATCGATTTAGCTACACACAATAAAACCCTCAAACAACTAAGACAACTAAATGACAGGAATTGCCACATACCTGTCAATATTAACACTTAATGTTAACGGACTTAATTCCTCCATCAAAAGGCACCATTTGACAAACTGGATTAAAAAGGAAGATCCAACAATTTGTTGCTTACAGGAGACCCATCTCATCGATAGAACTAAGCATAGGCTTATGATAAAAGACTGGAAGAAGATTTAACAAGCCAATGGCCCCCAAAAACAGGCAGGAGTAGCAATACTTATCTCGGATAAAGTAGACTTCAAACCTACATTGATCAAATGAGATAAAGAAGGACATTCCATACTAATAAAAGTGGGAATAGACCAAAAGGAAATAACAATTATCAACCTATATGCACCCAATGTCAACGCACCCAATTTCATCAAACATACCCTGAAGGACCTAAGAGCATAAATTAACTCCAACACAGTGGTGGTGGGAG